CTTTACTAAACGTTAATGGCGATGATCATCGAACTAAAAGATCTCTCGACAAAGGATCACTTACAAATAAAATGTACGTATAGGAGTTTTCACTCATAATATTGTCGCTTATTAAACAGTAATTTGATATGTAATATCTAATTATTCCATTTATGCTTCAGGTTCCATACTTATCTTTTTCTTTGAGTCTAATAAAAACAGATTGTTTATTGAATGTTCGAAGTACGAGGCTTCAACAAAGACTTTCAGTTATATAATATAGTTCCAGGAAACCTGTTTGACAAACGACGAAAGTGTCTCTTTGCAATAAAAAAAAATAATACTCCTATTCGCAAAAACCTTTTTCTATTTGTCTTTATATTTATGCGAAGTTGTTTTTAGCTCCTATTTTGCTAATGAGAAAAACAAATTGGATATCTCCTTGACAAAATTTAAGGAAACTAGTTTGAATCGTACTTGTATTTGTGAAAATCCCTTTCTGTTTACTTTTTTATTGGAAAGTCGTGTTTTTTTCTAGAATCTATTTTGATAAAGAGGAATTTTATTTATATGAAAAATAAAATAATCTCAATTTACACAAAAATAAATGTTTGTGCTATTATAACCTTCAGGTTAGAATTATCACGGTATCAACTTAAATATACAACCAGTAAGTTATAGTACAGTAATTTTCATAATGCAGGGTTCAAAAGACAGTGATGCAGAAATGTTAATTACGTAATTTTTTTTTAATAATATGAAGTGACGGGACGAACAAGTCGTGCGCCTTTATTTATTCATAATTTTCATATAGTGTGTACTATATTATAGTAGCAGGTAGATAGATAAAAAGTAAGAGAGCTTATAAATAGCAAAATTTCCTCGAGAGCCGTACCCTGGAGCATCGTGCCCAGAAGCCTAGCAACATTTCCCCTTTGAATTGCTAAACTTATTCCTTGGCTTCAATAACTGCCAGCCTTGTGATCACTGGAGGCTTCTACGAGGTGATCCGATAGCTCGTTCGCTAGAAGTTTCGCCTGTGGTCCCCGTGGACCCAGGGTTTCAACCGCAAAAGGCACAAAGCTGTAGCACTGAGCAAGGTTGGCGTATTTGAATCTTAAAAAAGATAATTTTTGTTTGTTTTAGAAACGTATTTCTGACCCTTTCAGTGTTTTATTACTGAACATTAGGTGTTTTGCATAAAAACAATTACTAGATACTTGAAAGTTTTATTTGAAATTCCCATAGATGCACACGAGTTCACCGAATTGTACTAGTTTAATGACCTGCGTCCATCCGCCGCTGATGACGCTCTAGTGCATCTGTACGACTTTCATGTTAAAGTAAATTTTGTTTATGTGAAAATTACTTTTAATAATGGATCATACGTAAGGGGTCATTATTTTGACAAAAAGAAGAACATGCTATCAAAATATTTTTTTATGCACACTTCCAACGATTCTAAATCGCCGCCCTTCGAGTGTAATACAAGTTAACAACCAGTGCATTAAAACAATGTATGATTGCTACCTACTCAGAAAGCTGAGTAAATACAGGGTCAAGAGCATGTCAACCCTGACACTTAAAAATTAAATTCAACTCTATACCGCTTACGACAAGAACGGTTCAAAGCGTCAATACTCAAGCTTGATATGTTTTTACGTGTACTTTTTACCTAAGGCTTTTGTGAACCTCCAACATATCATCGCTATAAATAGCTCACGAATTATGAGGTCGAAAAGTCATTCGAGGCTTTTGTACCGTTTCATACGGTTTACCAAATATAATTACTATGGTACAAACATTTCGCTTTTAAAAAAATGTGTATTGGCATATACACTTACCGATGTGAAATTGAAACTTTTGTGTATACGTACATACATATTATGATACTTTCGAAGTAGAAAAAAGGAACCTCGCCCACTTTGGTCAGCAATCGGCAAGTAACGTACGCGGTTTGGCAAATAATTTCCCCACGATGCCAAACATGACGGAATGGCGGACGCAAGTTTTTTTTTATGATACTAAGTGACGGGACGACCAAGTCATGCGCTTGGTGGTATACGACACGCCTGTCTATAATAATAATAATAATAACGCACACATTCATAGCCCCGCACTAGGGTAAGGCCATGGACAGACACAGACAAATTACACCCAAACTCTGGAGTAATAAATATAGGTATACAAACATTTCTCCCGTCCCGGGAATCGAACCCGGGATCTCTGCATAGCAGTCCAGCATGGTAACTTTTCGGCCACAGAGGCAGTTGCAACACATAACTGTAACACAATAACAGTTGCAGTGCCACTCAGAGCTTTAAAACGCAAAGATCGGAGGGGCTCTGCCACGGCGCTGGTCACCCTGAGACATAAGTTGACAAGTCCCATGTGCCTGTAATTTCACCGGCACCCTTACCCTTCGAAACCGGCCGCAGTAATGTTCACTTAAGTGCTTGGAGGCAGAAATAAGTAAGGTGGCAGTACTTCCATAGACGAACTATTTCAAAAGGAGCAAGTGTGACACAGAACTTAGTGACGTAAGCAACGTCTCTAAATTCTCCGCAGCTGTAATATATGTATGCCATTGATACAATAAGAAGAAGAGTAGGTATGCTAAAGTGTTCAATTTGAAACGCGCTATCCGCCATTCGAACACTATTTTATAATAACGAAAAGCGATTGTCGGTTTTAAACCACCGCACAATATAATTACGCAAGCACGTAACAGCAGTATCGTCATTAACAACCAATTAATTTAAACCGTTCGCGACTGTACTTTAAGCAGTTTGTATTAATAACCTATTACGTCATCATAGAACGAGACCACGTGTCTGTAAGATTTCGCAATGAATTGTAAAAGCCGGCAACATGCGGCGTCTGTCAGTCGTATTTGCAGGAAATAGTATGTGATTGTATTTTGTTTATGTTTATATATCGTTCATTAACGAGATAAAAGAATTACCAAATATGGTTGTCATTGAAAATAAAGATACGTAAGTTATTTATTATAATTTATTAACTATAAATCCTAAGTATGTTTAAATATATAACATTTTAACAAAAAACATATAAAATAGCTTGTGAAGAATTACAAATTGTCACATAAGTAATACTTATGAACATTTTAACAAAATATGATGAACATGAAGAAAATGCATTTTGCTGTATTGTTTTTGGGATTTTTAATTGTATTTACAATTACTATACTTTCTACTCTGACGATTTGGTTGTTTGATAATGTTTCATGTATTCTTACCATTCTGTAGCCGAGTCAAATGTTTGAAACAAAAGTGTTTGTTCATTATTAATCTGTAAATCAAGAGAATTTTGTTCTGTCGCGTTAATTTTTGAAAGACAACGTCAGTTGCTTAGCAACTAGTTCTAAATTAATAAATAAAAATAAATTCCGAAAAAATTATTTATTTAACCTTGAAGTCACGTATTTTGTTAACAAACCGTATGTAAAATGATTCTGATCCAGAAAAATTATTCCTATGATCACGTAAACGCCTAGTGTTCAATAAAATTAAAATATCACGTTAAAATATTGCGCTACATATGTAAAAAAATATGTTTTTCATACTAAACTGAATCTTTGTTTGAGTCTGAAGCATGGTATTTACATTTTAATGTACATTGGGCGTTATTTTAGGGTGTTAGAATAGCACTCTACATTTATTTTTTGAAAAACAGAGATGCTATAGGTTTACTTACACGAATAGCGTAGTTGTCAATAGTAAAAAGGGGATAGTTCGAGATTTATTTTGTTTTTGGCCAAAAAATATCTTAAATATTATTATACAGAGAGTAGGTAATTTGTATTGAAACCGGCGGGGGAAATGCATTTAATTATTTTGGGATACTCTTGTTATGAATTATTAATTCGATGTTGCCACCACTATTAATGTAAATATACCTAAATGCTTGCATATTTTAGCTAAATTTTTGTCATATTGCCTAGATTTTCTTTTTCTTCTTTAGAGAACAGATAAGACGTATTTGTTTTGCAAAAGAGAAGAGTTGCTAACCTCTTTGTCACGTGTTTAAGGCTCAATATATTATTTCACTTGTTTAAAACATGTTATCTTTTTACTATACTTTTCTAGCAAACCCACTTATAAATGAAGTAAAATGTAAATATTAATTTAACTGATTTGAAGTTTATCTATAATTAAACTATGTACACAATTTACAAGACGTAATTTTTTAAATATATTTACATGACAATGAGTTAAAATTTTCTGTGTTTATAACATTATTTTATGAATAAATACACACAACTGTACTACAAAGAAAGAATTTGTTACAAACATTGTTATAATTTATTAGTTAGTAGCTGGTGTCGGCGACTTTGTTTGCGCAGAATAAACACTTCTCGTATCCTACTGTACTATACTAATTTTCATAGTTTTATTAGTTCTCCATACATCATTCTCTATTTCACCATATTCCATTAAGGTTTATTTTTGTGACAAAAAGAAGCCTACGTCCTTCTCCTAGGTACCTTCTATCTCTATACCAAAATCAATGGTCCAGCGTTTTAGGCATGAAAACATAACAGACAGAGATACGTTCGCATTTATGTATTAGTTTGGGTTTGGATAGTTAGGATTGACTTTTATGTTCGTTACTGAAATCCACAGATTGAAAATGTTTCCAATCTCCCTTAATATCTTAAGTGTCAAATAAGAAATAAACGAAGCCGGTTAGAAAAATATACCATACTTTACCTGATGATCGAATTCATGAAAAAAAAATACACTAAATATAATCCTCAAACAAATTTCCGATCGACCGAATATATTTTGTACATGATTCCAAAATTCTTCTCGCGATCATATTTATTGCGTAATGGTATGTTATCACGAATACGGTCATCAGCTGTTGTATGGTTTGACATTTTTTGCAGCCTCTAGATGTAAATTTAATGGGAGATGTTCATGCTTTTTTAAATTGTTCATTGAGAAACATCAACTGACAACAATTAATTAAAACTGATTATCTTTGCAGAAGTAAACCCGAGGTCCCTCTACCGTCATATTTTCAAATCGTAAGTAGTTCCATGGTCAATAAATAATTACTGTGCCAATCTTCGGCTACTTAATTATAAAGATTCTTGATCAAACGTGACTGTCATGTCGAAGGATACGTAAGATATGGATTCTGATGATTATAGGAACTGTTTTCAGAAATATAATACTTATCGTTTTAGTTTTTTTTTATGATACCAAGCGACGGCACGAACAACTCGTGCGCCTGTTGGAAAGTGACACGCCTGTCCAAAACAGTTGCAGTGCCACTCAGAGCTTTAAATCTCAAAGATCTGAGGGACACTCCCACTGCGCCCGTCACCCTGAGACATAAGTTGACAAGCATGGGACTTGTGCCTGTAATTTCACCCTTACCCTTGAAAACCAGAGCGCTGTAATGCTCCCATTACTACTACTGCATGGCAGCAGAAATAGGTAAGGCGGACGAACTCTTTCTCAAGGAGCTCTATTGCTTGCTAACTTTAGTGTTTGTAGAGTCTAATTCTAGAGCCAGTACATATTGCAATATTTCTTATATTATAGTCTGTTTAGTTTCTATGGTTTCTCATTAGCAGGAAAGAGGTATTTGGTGTAAAAATGGTCAAAATCATATTACGTGTACGGAATTATAACAGCACCTATTAAAAAGTAAAATAAACAGAGAAACAATCCACCTATAGATAACTACATCTATACGTATTGAGAATGTAATATAAAAATTGATCAACCATATTCTTCAATTACGAGGATAGTCAGGTTGTTCAGATGTATTGGGTGTTCGATACAATTGGTGATATCTTGTATCAATCCGTACAGTATGAAAATTGTACCTCTTGTTCCCATGGGTTCGTTTTTACATTTCATACTTGAATGTTCATTCAAATGATAACATAGAAGTGTAGATAAGACTTTTTTATATAATGGTTCAATTTATTAATTCATTAAGGTTCACAGTTAGAGTAACTTGTTTTAAATAAATTTCATAACTTTGAACACTTTCTTGTGCGAAATTTACGAGATTTTCAGCCAGCGTAATTTTGAAAAATCAGAATTAAATTACATATTTAACTGACACCTTAAATGTAGGATCGAGCTTACAAAAAGTCATTGAGTTTGATTGATTTGTACCAAAATAGTGTCAAACTTCGTTTGATGAAGAACACTCGTAAAACTAACCTCTTAACGCGATACGACCAAAATTAATCGTAGTAAATGCCGTGGTAACCTAATGGTTTGACCTATCACCTCTCAAGCCGAGGGTCGAGTGTTCAAATCCGGCCTTGTACGTCTAAGTTTTCGGAGATTATGTTTGGTGTGGAGCTGAAGCAAAACATGGTGAGGAAACTTGCACGTCGAAGAAGTTTCACAACCCTCGGAAACGTGTGAAGTCCCCAAGCCGTTTTGGGCCAGCGTGACGGATTACGGCCTAAACTCTCGCCTAATGTGAGACCCCCGAGTGGTGGAACGTATTTATGTGGATTGATAATGATGATAAAAATTGAAATATACCTCTATGTAGATCAATGCCGTCCGGATACGAGAATATGCAAAATACCAAAAGGGCGCCAAGCTGAGAATCAATTTGCGACCAACATTTTGAGAAAAATTATTTATTATAGCTGATTTGTGGTGAAATAAACTATCATAACTTAATTTAAGAAACAAACTTTATTAACAAATTAATTTGCATTATGGAATAAATATATAAATAAATTTGAAATTACTCAGGTTGAATGATTCAATAAATGAATACTTTAAATTTAATTGTAAAACCGATGAATATGAATTATCAAGATCAACTAGTGGCAAATTCCTTCTGGATTTTGTACTATAATATAATAAAATATAAATATAAACTATATTTTATTTTATTTTTGCCAATATCAGTTCCGATACGCAACGACATGGGAGCGAACCGTGACAATAATAGGTGCTTTATTGGGCGCGGTCGGTGGATGCTGCAGTTGTGTTCCCGTGCTGCAATTTGGTGAAATGATGACGACCTTTGTAGAGCGCTCTGTTGATAACGGTCAAGTATCCAGTTACCTACCAATGACCACGTTTTTTGGAGGTGGAAGAAGATTGTAAGTTTTATTTTTTTCCTACACTTGGCGGTGTACGCCAAGAACCTGAACAGGTTTAGGTAAACCTGAACATGTGTTCAGGTTTTGGTTGCGCCGCCGTATTTAAATATAATAATTTCCTTTTTTCTAAGGTAAAATGGTGAATAAACAAATTTAGAAAAAGCTTAATTCGTATATTAGTTCCCCATGGGTCTATAAATAGAAAACTCTTCATTTTTTTGTAATATCAAGTGACGTGACGAACAAATCATCGATAAGCTACACGCAAGTCCATTACAATTGCAGTGCCATTCAGAGCTTTAACTCGCAAAGATCACTGGGACACGGCCACTGCCACTGCGCCCGACACCCTGAGACTTAAGTCGATAAGTCCCATGTGCCTGTAATTTCACCAGCACCCTTACCCTTCAAAAGCTGAATACAGAAATGCTGACATTACTGCCTCGCGTCAGAAATAGGCAAGGTGGCAGTACTTCCCTGGACGAACTCTTACAGATGACAATTCGAAAAATCTTTTCGTATTTTGGTGGTGGCGTCAACTATACACAAAATTTTATTAATAACATTTTCATCTTTATGCCATTATGTTTGTTACAAAATTATTTTAAAACACTTTAAAAAAGTACGACTTAGTCTCTTAAGAATCCGGATATTGATCCAAGTCTGCAGCTATGTTAGGTCAGTGTATAGATATGATAACTATAATTATGTAGATACAGTATAATTATATTTTAGTACGTATGATGAAGCTATAAAATTCTTATCTTTTTCAGAATAAACGCCACGTTTGAAGAAAGAATGGAAGCGCTAGTTGAAGATGGTATAGCTTTAGCTATTGGCACTTGTACTATCTATAGTATCTGCATGTTGATAGTCGTTACTTCAGTTGCTATGGTCAATTGGAGCGCCTTAAAACAGGTATGAATGTATTATAATTGAGAGCACAGCTGACTGTGTTAATCTAAGTGTCTTCGGATATTATGTGATCCATTCAGGGATGACAAATTACTTCTCTCTATCATAATATAATAAGACAAGCACGGTAACTCCGTACAACCGTAGCAGCATGATTTGTAAGGGGTTTTTCAACCAGAACTTAGATGACAATGATTCAAATTTTTATAGAATTAAAAAAGTATGGTTTGGCAATTATGAATGAAAAATGATATCTGATAAATGTCCACCACGATCACAGTTACAGATATCGATTCTTTCATCAAAGTTTTTAAACACTTTTTGATAAAATGGTGGGTCTATTTCGTTAATCACTTCACGAATTTTGAGTTTTAAGGCTGCAGTCGATTATTTTCATTTAGTTAGTTTATTATTATTCAGTCTTCGAAGGCAAAATTAAAAATTTTCAAAAACTTTGATATTATTTCAGATTATTCGTATTCGAAGGATATTTTTTAAATCTGTCCTTCGACAAGACATGGCTTGGTTCGACACAGAAAATGATTTCAACTTTGCTTCAAAAATGTCAGAGTAAGTTTAATTTATCTGGTGTTCTACGTATTTCATTATCATCATGATCATCCTATTTAACAGCCACTTGTGAAAGAAACTAAAAAAAAAATATAAAATTAGAAAAAAGGAATTCTCTGTGCGTAGATTACTTTTTACTTAATAAGACTGTCATTTTTTTTTTTCATTGTAGCGTCGTTTTGAAAACTGTGAGTCGCTAATATAATGAATATCAGTCCATGATTTCCTGCGCTTTTCGGTGGGACTTAAGTTAACAAGAGAGTTATCAGAGACTACAATTGGCATTTGGTGATGAAGCCCCATGTCGTAGCTCTGTCTATTCATGGTTCTGTGACTTTAGACGTGGACGTGATCATCTCCATGCATCTCCATGACGATGTACGTGAAGGTCGGTCAGCGACTGAGGTTACCGAATTTAATATTGATACCGTACGACAACGGATTGAAACTGACAAAAAATTTACTTGTCAGCAAATTCGTATTGCATTAGGCATTAGAATGAGCCAGGTGCATGTGCATCTGAAGGTTCGGAAATTTTACATGCGATGGATACCGCATGATTTAACGGTGTACCAGAAACGACTGCGTGTAGAGTGGTGCCGTAAAATAATAAAAAAGTTTGATGGACGGCAATCATTGGTGGTATATAATATCGTGATAGGTGACGAAACCTGGATGCACTACTTTGAACCGGAAAGAAAAAGATACTCCGCAGAATGGGTCTTTCCTTTTCAAAATTTGCCTAAGAAAGTTAAGGAAAGTCGGAGTACTGGTAAGAAAATAGTTACTTCTTTCTTCGGCAAATCAGAACATTCCTACAGTACTTAAAAACCAAAGAATAGTGACTGTAGATTGGTATATAAATACCTGCTTGCCCAGAGTGTTTGAAAAAGTTCGCAAAGAGCGTCCTCGAAGCAATATCGTCCTTCACGACAACGCCTCTGCACATTCTGTTAAGGCAACGAATGAATATTTAAAGGCCTCAAACATCGAGTATATAACCAGAAATAGAGACGAAATATCATTTAATTTGTTTGTAAACTTTTCTGCTATATCATTACTGTGACAACTGCGCTCCGATTGGCTAGTTCGAGTTCGAAACAATTGACGGTTGTCGTCAACTGTTTCACTTCAAATCGACCAGTTAACTTGAACGTTGCTATGATGGACGAAAATTGCAAAATTACATATTTAATTACCGATGAAATGTGATTCCATTTGTTTTGTAATTAGATGTTTTGCTGTTTTTCCCACACCACTGAATAGAACAGCACGGCATTATTAGAGATATTATCTTTATTACAATAAATACAGAATATTTTTTGGAATATACGGAGACGCACACACAGGTCAGTAGTTGCCCTGTCTATATTTTAGTGCAAACGAGAATTGATATTTATAAGAGCTGTATCGCTTATGTGTTACCAGGAATATATGGCCCTTATTTCGTCTCTATTTCTGGTTATATACTCGATGGCCTCAAATGTAGAGCTGATGACCTATCCGCCATACAGCCCAAACCGTGCACCATGCGACTTCTTTTTATTTCCAAAAATGAAAGATGAACTTAGAAGTTTACGATTTACAAGCCCGGAAGCGGCGGTGAATGCGTTCCACGAAGCCATTGAAAAAGTTCCTACGGAAGACTTGTCCTACTGCTTTTCACAATGGTTCCAACGAATGCAAAAGTATGTGAAAAGCGAGAGCATATACTGTGAAAAACAATAAATCTCTTATAAATATAATATCTGGTCTTACTTATCAGAACCCAGAAACTTTCAGAATGGACTAAGTATGTCCTAAACTAAGTATTTAGGAGAATTGATTCGTTTCTCATTCACACACAGCTAGACAAGATTTTACCTACATTTTCGAAATGTACCGCTATACTTATTCGTTAGCGTTGTTTCGTTTATTTAATATTTGTCTGTTCAACAGGGATATGGTGAAATTAAAAGATGGAATGGGTGACAAATTATCAGTTGTAGCCAATTTAATCGGAGGTTCCATCTACTGTTTAGTTCAAGTTTTCCCTTTAGGCTGGGAGCTCTCATTGGCTTGTAGCTCTTTGGTGCCTTTTAGTATTGTTGCCACAATTGCTCTAACTAAAGTGAGTATTAAAAAAACAATTAAAATTATATTTTAAAACCTCATGAACAGTAATTGTGATTTTAAACAGGATATTCTTGAGGTAACCTTACACCATTATATTTACTATAATCGCATCTCCACATTTTCATAATTCAATTTATATTCGTAAAATATAAAACTTAAAACCGTTATTTTACTACTTATACCGAACATAAGACAAAGGTTGCAACTCACAGCAAGCAGCTTTCATCACATCATCGCAACAACAACACATTGAGCCTGAACTTAATGAGAGCTAAAAGTTAAGCTAATTCGTGAAAGCTATGCATTTCACGAATTCATGGCAAACATGGCATGATCCTTAATTGATAGGCCGACAGTTCTGTGGGCCACACCATTGGGCTTATCCCACCCCAGCAAGAGGCAGGGTTCGCAGCTGAGTTGGAGGAAAGATTAACAAGCCAAATGTACCAGAACCTCAGTTTGACTACTTATTTACATCCTTCTAAGTTAAAACAGTGCACTTTCATACTTTAAGAAATATTTAAAATCATTATTGACTAACTGGGACACCCAAGGGTTGGCAGTATGTGTTGTCGTCGTGTTAGTAGCGAACATATTAGCGTAGCCCTACAAATGTTGTCTGCATTTTGAGAAATGTCATCTATTTATTTATTATAATTGGTGTACACAACAATTATAATAAATATGTATAAACAATTACACTTCGTGTCACTGTCGAAGACACAGGCCACACGAAGATGATTACTTGTTTACTTGTAGCAGTACGTAGTATGGTCAGTATGGTGCCGGTGGTAAAATGTTCATTTTAAATTTTGAATACGTGACGTAACAATGACGTGTGACTCGGACAACACCAAAAAACGTAATATCGACTGGTCCGGGTTTATAGTGGGAGCTGGCGTGTTTTTTTAGCTCATAATGCTTTAAATAGTGTGACAAGGACGGCACCGTACTACGTATTGCTGCAAGTAAACAAGTAATCACCTTCGTTCGTGATACTCATATAATTAAAATCAAACTTCACTAAGTAAGTTCGTTTGATTCTTAATTGTAATAAAGTACTATAATAAAACTTTAGAGTAGCACCCATATTGATGAAACATTAATATGTTTTAATACAGTACCAAACAAGGTCGTCTGCAAAGGAATCAGAAGCTTACAATACAGTGGGACAACATGCTGAGGAAGTATTAAAATCAATTAAAACAGTAGTAGCCTTCGGTGGTGAAGATAAAGAAATACAAAGGTATTCAAAAAATAATGTACCGATAAACACGAGGTCAAAAATTAAGGTGCTATTCTAGACATCAAAACTAACAAATTTTGTTCTTAGACTTGCAAAAAAAAGTCGTATGTAGTGTCGTGTCGTGTGTAGTCGTTGTTCGTTTTCAAGAAAAAATAATCTTCTAATGTTTTAGCGTCGATTTCATAACCACTAGCGAACTAACTAGTTATATCTAGCTCGCTTTAGAGGTAATAATGACTAAGCTAATAGTGAGCACGTATTTTATAGTACCTTTTATATTAACTGGATTCACCAAACAAACACTAATTACTTTCCTTATCAAAAAATATATTTCTCGGAAACTGGTACTAAATGTGTTTTGTAATCATCAAATAAAATTGTTTTACAATGTAAGGATAATTGTCATATGACAAATTCTACTATATTGTACATGAAAATATCGTTACTTATATAACAATATTTCTTTCAATTTACAAAATTAACCCCAAAATACTATTGAGATCAGTTCGCAGCTTCCATTAGAACTCCATGCACCTAGGTTTTTGTACGACTTAAGAAAGCCTTCATTGTAATTTTCGTGCTAAGTATAATGGCAAAGGATTCTATCCGCTTGCCTATTTGATTACTGTAGGCAAAATATATTTATCAACGCTATTTTTATAATATTATATTTATCCGATGTCCAACTGCAATTTTGCATTTACAAATCTATTTGTTATAAAACACATGACGTGATGTAACCCAGACTGGGTTAACGGCTTTCCAAGATCATACTAAATACTACACATATAAAAAGAACTTTATTCTCCAATTTTGTAGTACATTTCAGAGCATTTGCTGCGTACTTATCTCCTACAGCAGATACCTATTTCAAATATCTCATCTTTCCCCACTGCTAATCACATACCTTCATAGATACAGAAATTTGTTGGAACCTGCTGAAAGATTCGGACGTAAACGCGGTCTGTGCACTGGTTTGGGAAATGGTTTCAACTGTATGCTCACCTTCTCTCTTAATACAATTGTGCTCATGTACGGCACCAGACTCGTTGTCGAAGATTTTGCTAAGCCCACGGATGAAAAGAGATACATACCTGGAGACATTATTACTGTAAGAGAAAAATAATTTTTAAATTAATTTTAAAATGAACAATCCAAAATAATTTTCAGAATAGTATTTTGTCATTTTCTAAACCTTAGGTAGTCTAAATTGAAGTAAAAAAAATTACATGCGTTATTATAAAAGAAACTACTTGAATGGAAAATCCAGTTACTAAGTCACTCGTCAAATGCAAGTGATTTATTTAAAGTATTACAATTTAGTTTATTGAATGTCAGGATGTTTCACCATCATGATATTCAGTAATCTTTTATTAAATTACTTTTTCAGATACTATTTAGCGTATACTCCTCAATACATATGATGACAATGAGTGTTCCTCATATGGAAGCATTTGCTTTCGCTCGGGGAGCAGCAGCCAGTATTTTTAAACTTATGGACCAAGAACCTGCTATTGACAGTCTTAACGAGGACGGTAAAGTTCCGGAAGAAGGATCTCAAGGAGAAATCATATTTAAAGACGTAACCTTTAGTTATCCCTCTCGACCAGATGTTAAGGTATATCAAAAATAATTTCATAAAAAGTTAATGTAACAACATAACAATACTAAAAGACAATTTGTTTGTGTCTGCCATAGGTGCTGGACAAATTTTCTCTTTATATAAAGGCAGGAGAGTCTGTGGCGTTAGTTGGATCATCGGGATGTGGAAAATCTACAGTACTACAACTGATTCAGAGATTGTATGATCCTAGCTCAGGATCTGTCACATTTGATGGCGAAGATACAAAAATTTTGAACTTAAGATGGTTGAGGTCTAAATTAGGTATAATTTTGAGATTTTTATCGTTGCTTTCAAAAATAATAATGTACTTAGTATGTATCTATCAAATAATAGTTTTTGTTTCATCCAAAGGATCAGCTGGTAAATTGAATTATATTATTTCGTTTTAGGAGTAGTAGGACAAGAACCAGTGTTATTCAAAGGCACAATCAGTGAGAATATATCAATTGCGGACTCGGAAGCTACAAGAGACGAAATCCAAAGAGTGGCAGAAATGGCTTATGCTCACGAATTTATTACTAAATTGCCCGATGTTAATGTCCTTTTACGTATTGTTAACCAGTTTTTTTTTAACATTGATCTTATCGTCAAAATATTTCTGTAATAGGGTTATGACACCGAGATCGGCGAACAAGGAACGTCGCTTTCTGGAGGGCAAAAGCAACGAATCGCTATTGCGCGAGCGTTACTTCGAAATCCAATATTGCTATTAATGGATGAGGCTACGTCAGCTCTGGATTCACAATCTGAACGAACGGTTCAAGCTGCCTTAAACAGAGCTAGTATAGGAAGAACAACAATAGTCGTTTCTCACAGGTAAGCTATTCCAATACTTGAAAATTAGATGGTGGTACGGTACGCATCTCGTACGAAGTATTTCATTCAGAACATATACCTTCCAATAAACGTTCAATTCTGAACCACTTGCAACGAACGACTCCATTTGCTCTTTAACATAATATCGTCGATTTTTCGGCACGACTTTCATTTCGGCAACTAGCATTTACGCATCATTACAGGCTGTCAACCATTGTAAACGCACACCGTATTATTTGCATAGATCATGGAAAAGTAGTAGAAGAAGGGACACATGAAGCCCTGATGAATGCTAAAGGTAATTCAATTTAGATGTAAAATTAAACTAATTAATACGTTTCTAACCTATAATTTACTGATATGAATCAAACTTGTATTCCTCAACTTTGACCGTTATGTATCTGCTTGTTTAATTGAAACAATTACCTTCTTTTTACCATCATATTATTTCAGGCCGTTACTATGAACTTGTAACAACGGGCAACAGAGATCAAGAACCAGAAACTGTATCTATAAAGGAAAACAGTCACGAAGAACTGATTGCGAAGAATATAGATACAACACGCGAACCCCAAGAACCTTCGAAAAGAAAATCAACAGAAAAATTTCCATACAATCGTAACAAAAGAGGTAAATAAGATTACTGACACTCTTAGCCACTATTAGATTACAAAAGTTGCTGTTGCTTGAACATACCACAGTTCTGGTGTACCAAATTTATTTCATCCATGACGTCGTCGTCGCGACTGCAAAAGAACACGCGATTCGAGTAGCCGCGCGCGACTCGTCATCTGTATAGTGCACATCACAATCCACACTGTCAGTCTAGCTGCGCGCGATCGAACGTGTACTTGAACATTTACGTTCGTGTGTAATTGAAACACTTCGTATCGTGTTCCCATGACTCACGTAAAATGCACATAGATATGTATTTATAATTTAGTAGCCGCAGCATCTTCGGGGTACTCACAGAACAATAAATACAGTGAAAGTGGATAGTTAGCGTCCAACGCGAGCCAATCATAGGTCTCGAAAGATCTATCTGAACTCAGTCCGCCATTTTTGCTTTATATGGTATGGTTGTGTCATTCTTTCGTGCAAATTCTCTAAAATCCTAGAAAAATCCTTGTTGTACTGTTTTGGAGTGCAAAAATGATAGCCGCACCAAAAATATTGCCTATGGTGGTATTTTATATCATCGGAAAGTCTTATTTTAATAAATTTTTAATTTTCTGTTTATCGAAATATTTTTTATTTATTTATTTGTAACAAAAAACGAAAGAAAAGCTTATATTCATGCAATATGGACGCTTTTTGTTTGGAGAACTAAATTAATAACTTCATTTCGTCGTAGTTCACCAATTAACCGCTAGATGGCAGCAAATTGATTGAAATTTCAATATAATATCATAATATGGTATTTAACTATCAACGATATGCCAACAGGGTAACGTTTAAATTATATTAACAATCCAGAATTTGTTATTTCTTTTTAAACTTAAATCTACAACCACTCAACATCAAGATTTTGTAGTGTTTCAAATTAAGAATGTTGAGTATTGGCTACATAGGTTCTGATAGTAATTGTTTTTTTTTTCTTTGCTGGGGGTACCAGTAGAACCGCGCGAGACACAGTCGTCGTACATAATCGCGCGACTTGCCATCATTTCCCGCCAAGTTTGCGGTCCATACTACAAACGCGGCGGCTACGTGATAATCACAAACCTGCAGTGTTGTTGAAATAAAACAGTTGTTCCGCAGTCGCGGCGGGTGCGTTTAAAATCCGGTCCTTGAGTTCCTAGCCTATACCTAGCCGCTTAGTGGGAAATATCTCTTAAATTTTCAAATATGACAAAATACAAAGTTCTATTTAATGAATTTACAGCCTCATCTGATTCGAGAATTTCTATTTCGTCAGCTATTGTATCAGCTGGTTTGCGGCGGCATGAATCTACAGCTGACATGGAACTTAAAGAAAAATTAATAGAGCACGAAGAGGTTTGTATGATTACGCCAGATTTAGTAGCTACTAGACATGTGTGCCGAGAAATAAAATTGTCTGAGACGGTGTCTGTAGGTTTTTCGACCGAGAATAGACGGAAATCGGGCGTGGGATCTATTTTTCAAGTGTTAAAAAAACATTGTTTAACCTGTACTTTAACAGGTATTTTTATTGGAAATAATAAACTTATAGAATGTTTGTAAAAAAACGATCACGTGAAATAAACACGGCTTAAATAGGAACGTAATTCATGTCAATTGTGCATAAATAATATTGAATACACGCACGCCCGTTTTCCATCGGAGCGCGGCGTATACAAAGAACAGCATTCTATTTGCTAGGATCCTGATACATGTCTTTCGTCTCATGAACATGCGTCAGTGATTTCATACATGCTCTTCGGCTAAGAATGGTCTTGATTCAGTTTTTAATTGAAATATAGTAAATAATTAACAAAGATTTTACACCGGCAAAAATCGTCGTCGGCGGCGATATGTCCAGTAGGTAGGTGTTATATGTAATACAAAAAGCTTTTTTTTTTTTTCAGGAAATAAAACCCCTAAACGATTGGGAACTTTTAAAACTAAACGCACCTGAATGGCTGTATTTGGTCATCGGCTCTATTAGTGCTTTTGCGCAAGGTTCATGTTATCCAATATCTGCATTTTTGCTGGCCTATGCTTATGGGGTGAGAAGCTTGTCATTATTTTTAAAATTGACATTCAATTAACGGTTAATACTCGTACAAAATCAAAATCAGTGGTCCGAGTTCCCGATTATTAGGGAATGCCCAGAATTTACTTTATGATTCGGCACAGATACTGATGGCACAATTTTCCGCAAACCCAGGCTAAATTCGACCTATTCAGTTACTAAGTCTTGCTGCGTGTGGTGTTACATTCAAGTGAAATTAAATAGATCTGTCTGAACTCAGTCCGCCATTTTTGCTTTGTATGGTATGGTTGTGTCATTCTTTCGTGCAAATTCTCTAAAATCCTAGAAAAATCCTTGTTGTACTGTTTTGGAGTGCAAAAATGATAGCCGCACCAAAAATATTGCCCATGGTGGTATTTTATGTCATCGGAAAGTCTTATTTTAATAAATTTTTAATTTTCTGTTTATCGAAATATTTTTTATTTATTTATTTGTTACAAAAAACGAAAGAAAAGCTTATATTCGTGCAATATGGACGCTTTTTGTTTGGAGAACTAAATTAATAACTTCATTTCGTCGTAGTTCACCAATTAACCGCTAGATGGCAGCAAATTGATTGAAATTTCAATATAATATCAAAACATCGTAACTTGTAATAATAGGTATTGATGGTATTGAACTATCAACGATATGCCAACAGGGTAACGTTTAAATTATATTAACAATCCAGAGTTTGTTATTTAATTAAGTAGAACTTTTAAAACTAAACGCACCTGAATGGCTGTATTTGGTCATCGGCTCTATTAGTGCTTTTGCACAAGGTTCATGTTATCCAAAATCTGCATTTTTGCTGGCATATGCTTATATAGTGAGAAGCTTGTCATTATTTTTAAAATTGACATTCAATTAACGGTTAATACTCGTACAAAATCAAAATCAGTGGTCCGAGTTCCCGATTATTAGGGAATGCCCAGAATTTACTTTATGATTCGGCACAGATACTGATGGCACAATTTTCCGCAAACCCAGGCTAAATTCGACACATTCAGTTACTAAATCTTGCTGTGTGTGGTGTTACATTCAAGTGAAATTAAATAATAACACTATGTAACAAATTTTTTGAAAAGGTTCTATTTCTGGTTTGACAGTATTGGTTTCTATTTAATTGAACAACATGTATGTAGAATAGAGTAATTACACCCCTAAAACTGCTTTCGTGGCTGTCACAGTGGGATTTACATAGTTGCCTATGTAATATTGTATAGTGGTTTAGTTTACACATTTCTAGGTTCTTGGTCATCAGTTTTAAAATTTTGGTTGAAATATACTATTGAATTGAAATATAATGTTCACTTTTTGACTTTACATAAAGAGAAACCCGAACATTTTAGTTTTCTTAACGGTAAATTTCAACTTTTCGTCGTTCACCACAAAAGCAAAATTTTTGCACGGAAATAAATGTTTTTCACAACAAAAAATAATAATTGATAATCCAGAAACAAAAGTCGTGTTACATAGTGCAATTGTATTGGTATAAAGAACAAAGTTGTAAAAAGGTAATTACATAATATAAGTACGCTACATTTTTATTGTTCTTGATTGATTTACATTTAATTACATATTTTTATTTTATTATGTCTTGACTGATTTTTTGCTTTGACAGTTTTTTTATTGTTACTTTAATAATTGATTTTTTAATAATTTTTATTATGCTCCTAAATTAAAAAAATAATAATTAAATATTTTTTCCGTGCAATGAATTTTAAAATATGTTTCAACTATTTTTTATTGAGTACCGAAATATCATCGGATTTGCCGGTATCAGTTTTGACAGATATCGGGAATTGTTACTCTCTACACAGCAGTACTGCAATGCCTAGACAGTTCACAAATACTGAAAAGTTTGAAGAAATAAATGCGTCTTGCCTCTGTAGACTGTACAACCCAGATAATGTTAAACACAAGCACTATGGTTTTATTTGTTTCAGATATATGCTTTACCAAACCCTAATGATATAATATATCTGGGAGATTTTTATGGCGTTGTGTTCATTGTAGTATCAGTAATGGCTGGAGCATCCATGTGCTTGCAAAGTTTTGCTTTCACTACTTCCGGCCTTAAAATGACCACAAGGCTACGATATCAATATTTTTCCAGTTTATTGAGACAGGTGTGTTTTATTTTAATAAAGGTTAAAAAGGAGATTTTAATCGCTCATTGCATATTTAAGCTGAAGCTGTATTTTGTAATTGTACACGTAACTCAACTTGTAGTGTCGTGATTATGAAATTTGCAGTCTAGAAAACTATACGTAAGACCAATGTAGAAATTATTCTTTGCAGGAGATAGGGTACTTTGACAAACCAACCAACACAGTGGGTGCAATGTGTGCACGATTGAGTGGCGATGCAGCTGAAATACAGGGTGCCACTGGGCTGCGCGTCGGTATAATATTGCAAGGAATTAGCTCAACTTTCATAGGATTTGTTATGAGCATATCCTACAGTTGGAAACTTACCCTTGTCGGACTAGCCGTCTTACCATTGGTTAGTAACTTTTTGTTCATAACTTTCTTTAGCATAAAAAAATGTGATAAATCTGTTATTCTTTTCTTAGTTAGTGGGTTGTGTATGGTTGGAATCTGTCTCCGCTGAACAATCTCAAGCCGCCGAACGTACCGCCTTAGAATCAGCGACCTCCATAGCTACAGAAGCCATTGTTAGTGTTAGAACTGTGCAGAGTTTAGGTAAGCCTTATTAGTCAATGTCATGCTGTCAAAAATTTAAACTAAGAGTTAACAGCGACTTTTACCAGCGATGCAAACGAGAGGCAGTAGCGATGTAGTCGGTGCAAACGCACGACTGTATCGATATAAACACCCGATTACATCGATGCAATCGCCTACAAATCCCAAGTGTAGCGATGCAATCGCGCGTTTGTATCGATGCAGTCGCGCGCTTGCATCGCGTTCGCATCGCTGCTTAAAATCACGTGCGTGTGTAAAGAAGACGATTAACGACTGCATCGCGTTTGCATCGTTGCTAAAAGTCTCCGTGTGTAACCGCTCTTAGTTATTAATTATATAGGTAATTAAGTTTCTTCCCATACTCGAATATTGGAACCATGATTTACTTTTAAAGGTATTGAGAAAGTATTCATGAAGAAATTCGACGATGCCCTTGAAAACTCTCGTAAAGCTCTATCTAAGAAGACACGATGGCGCGGATTAGTTATGTCCTTGGGCAACTTCTTTCCTGGCTTCACTTACACAAGTGCAACAGTCTATGGTGCTACCTTAGTAGCTTATGAAGGATTAGAGTACAAAACTGTATTTCTGTACGTATGAAATTTCACTAAACACGTTTATGTTATAGGTACTTAGCCAGTTTTAATATAAATATGTTTGAACATTGCAGAGTAAATGAAGCTTTAATGTATGGAGCATTCATGTTAAGCCAGTCATTATTGTTATCACCGAACTACCGATCCACTAAGACTTGTGGTGCTCGTATTTTGCATCTCATTAACAGAGATCCTAAAGTCAAGACTGAACCTGGAGTGAGAGACAAAGAGGATTGGGTATGTGTACTCATAATATCATAGCATAGTTATAAACCATGTACAATCCATATCTAGACGGTCTCATCATTGTCTTTCAAACGTGTCTGCACTAATTTTTATCATCCAATTCACTTAAGTCATCACGCCATCTGTAATTGATCAATATTTCATCTCCCGGTCTTTTAATTTTCGAATACATTGCACATATTCTTACGACATGCAGACAGAACATTGGTGTGGTTGTAATTGGACGAGTGTTAACACATTTGAATAATGTATTCTTGTTTGTCTAATTGCTTTCCTTGTCGATTTTAGACAGCGACAGGAAGTTTCAGTATAAAGGATGTAAAATTCAACTACCCCACACGCCCACACGTAGCAGTTCTCCAAGGATTAGATCTGAAAGTAGAAGCTGGTAAAACAGTTGCTTTAGTCGGATCTTCTGGTTGCGGCAAATCTACTATACTCCAGCTTATGCAACGGTACTACGATCCTGCCAGTGGTAAAATTGTAAGACTTGGTTTTATATATACTATTACGAACTATTATTCAATATTGTCTAAGCAACAAAAAAAATCGTGATTATCATCCTTAAATACAACAGAATAGAATATGTTGATGGTTCTCATTTGTTCTATATTTGCAGGAACTAGATGATTTTGATACTCGTACGTGCTTAACGCTGCCACGATTACGACGTCAGCAGGGTGTAGTGCAACAACAGCCAGTGCTATTTGATCGCACGTTAGCTGAAAATATATCTTATGGTGACAATACCCGCGAAATTACTATGAATGAAATAGTTCAAGCTGCCGAAGCTGCCAATATTCACAACTTCATCGTGTCTTTGCCTAAGGTAATGCTTGATAAATCATTGACCTTATAACAAAAACCAATTGTTCCGTTCAAATTTTATATAGGATACTTACTGCCATTGACTTTAAAATAGAAAAACATTCCATCACGCTAGTAACAATTTTACTAGAAATTTAAGTGGTCCTTCACAGGGCTACGAGACAAACGTGGGCTCAAGCGGTGCACAACTATCAGGTGGCCAGAAACAGCGAGTATGTATCGCCCGCGCCTTAATCCGTTCACCTCATCTTTTACTACTGGATGAAGCCACTTCTGCATTAGATGCTAATAGCGAACGGGTCAGTATACCATCCACTTTGCTCCTCTATGCCTATTTTCTCTGATACTTTAACAAATATTTGACTTTTATTAAAAGGTCGTAACGGAAGCTCTGGAAACTGCAGCACAAGGAAGAACATGCATTACTATCGCCCATAGACTATCTACAATAAAGGACGCTGACTTAATTTTTGTTATAGACAAAGGTATGTAATGGGCAAGGGCTTGTTAATCTTATTACTTGTATAATAAGCAATTGCACAAATTTTAATCATACTTTTGTACCAATAGCGCTCTTTGTGAAACAGTTCGCCCAGGGAAGTACTGCCACCTTACATATTTCTGCCGCCAAGCAGTAATAACAGCATTACTGTGTTACGGTTTTGAAGGCCAAGGGTGCTGGTGAAATTACAGGCACATGGCACTTGTAAACTTATGTCTCTACGTGACGGGCGCAATGGCAGTGCCCCTCAGATCTTTGCGATTTAAAGCACTGAACGGCACTGCAAGTGTTATGGACAGACGTGTTGCTTACCATCAGGCGCTCGACTTGTTCGTCCCGTCACTTGATATTATAAAAAAAACCTTTTCAGGGCGGATTGTGGAGCACGGAACACATTATGAGTTACTTCAGCAAAATGGCATATACTGGCAAATGTGTAAACAACAAAGGGTGTCCTGAAGAACATCCTTACCATCGCTATAGAAAAATCTTCGCCTAACGGATAATTTTATGTGTAAACTGTGCCGTACTACGTGACGCAATAAATCGTTATTATCTAGCATTACATCTTATTCAACTCTCCTAATGTTATCTTTATACACTTTGGACACCATGCTAAAGCTCACAATAGAAAGTCAGCGGAAATGGAACATTCAAGGCAATCGTCTGAATTTGCGTGCAGTCGCTTAATGTACCCATTTGAAGTCTCTTGGGCGTTCTTGCAGTGATTCAAACTTTCCTAAGGTTCTCCAAAATTTGGCGCCGTGTACTCTCAACTTTCAACTAACTCTTACAGTAATGAGATAGAACAGTCATACGCTATGATAATATCGTATATACGTACTAATATTAATGTGACATGGAAATGTATTGTGTGTACGTGTGTATGCGCTTTATGAAAAAAAAAATGCTAATTGTCGGAGCCATGACTTTTTATATATTAGTCACATACAAATTTTAACATTCTTAGTCAACGTGTCGTAAATAATCAATCAATAAACGTAATAACGTGTCTGTGGAATGAAATTGTATGAATGAATTAATGAAATATTCGTTATTGCACGTTAAAAAATACAATGACAATAATGTAAGTACCACAGAGTAAACTAATGTACAACAGGCCACCTTATTGCTAAGTATCAATTTCTCCCAGGCAACCTTATTTTTTTATTGAAATGAAGAGTTGGAAAGAGGAGTGGGACTAGAGAATATCTTGTAATGAAAGTGTTTTAAATAAATGCGCTAATAAATTAAAAACTAAATGTACTCGTATAAATAATAATAATATATAATGTAATAATAGTAATAATAAATAAAGGGTTTTTCAATAAGAACTTTGTTTTGTAAATCAAAATAAAACAATAAATTTAGATGACAATGATTCAAATTTTTATTGTATTAATAAAAGTAAGGTTTGGCAATTATTAATGAAAAATGATATCTGATAAATATCCACCACGACCACAGTTACAGATGTCGATTCTTTCCATAAAGTTTTTAATCACTTTTTGAGAAAGTGGTGGGTTTATTTGGTTAATCACTTCAAAAATTGTGAGTTTTAAGGCTGCAATCAATTCGATTGGCTCCGTATAGACTCTGTCTTTAACATAACCCCATAAAAAATAATCCAGCGGTGTTAAATCATATGATCGAGCTGGCTACTTAACGGCTGAATTTCGTGAAATTATCGGGAAATTTGGTTTGCAATAAATTAATTCATTGTTTCGGTGGCAATGTGACTTGTGCCGTTGGCATTGGGCTGTTTTTTTTTTCGAAAATTCGGCTGGAAATGCGGTAACGGTGAATGGATCACGCTATCGCGAGATGTTAACAACTCAATTTTGGCCTAGCATTGATGACATGGATATCACTGACATGTGGTTTCAACAAGACGGTGCCACATGTTACACAGCCAATGAGACGATCAATTTATTGCAAACCAAATTTGCTGATCGCGTAATTTCCCGAAATTCAGCTGTTAAATGGCCAGCCAGATCGTGTGATTTAACACCACTGGATTATTTTTTGTGGGGCTATCTTAAGGACAGAGTCTATACGGAGCCAATCGAATCGACTACAGCCTTAAAACTCAAAATCCGTGATGCGATAGCCGAAATAGACCCGACATTTTGCCAAAAAGTGATTAAAAATTTTGATGAAAGAATCGACTTCTGTCAGCGTGGTCGTGGTGGACATTTGCCAGATATCATTTTTCATTCATAATTGCCGAACTTTTCTCTTTGTAATACAATAAAAATTTGAATCATCTTCATCTAAATTTTTTGTTTTATTTTGTTTTAGAAAACAAAGTTCTTGTTGAAAGACCCTTTACATGCAGTATAAGAATGTATAAGATAATAATATATAATAATCAGATCACTTAAATACTTTTGTAGAAAAATGAAATAATTCATAATAAATAAATAAACATACGAAGATTACAACACTATGCAATAAGGAAATAAATGAAGGGAATATAATTAGTAGCAGTAGAGCTCCTTGTGAAAGAGTTCGTGCAGGGAAGTTTTGCCACGTTACCTATTTCTGCCGCCTAACATAATGTGGTGCTGGTGAAATTACAGGCACATGGGTCTTGTCAACTTTAGTCTCAGAGTGACTGCAGGGTGACGTAGTAACAGTGCTCCTCAGATGTTTGTAATTTAAAAGACTGAGTGGCACTGCATCTGTTATGGACATGTCGCTTACCACCAGGCGCACGACTTGTTCGTGCCGTCACTTGGTATTGTATAAAAAAAATGGAAAACAAAGAAAAAAACCAAGTACTGCAATTAAAGGAACATTTTAACAGCATATAAACACAGATGACTTGTACCCTTTTTAACCAACTTCGAAAAAAGGAGGAGGTTTTTTATATGTATGTTAGGCGATAACTCATTAGGCATTTGTAAACCGATTTTGATGATTATTTTTTTGTTGGAAAGAGTCGTCATCAGTGGTCCTATTTAAATTGAAAGAAAATATTCCACTTCTAAGAGTGGCATACTAGGGGAAGATGACTTTTGTAATCGGTTTTTTTAGTGCGCTGTACTGATATTATATTTACCAAACTCAAAGTGAAGAAAAGTTGAATTTCAGCAATCAATACTATTTCATGATTTTGACGAAGAGCTTAAGCGATTAAAGAACGATTGATTGAACACTGAAATTTTTCTCATGGGGACTATTTTTATTAGAATTTGATGAAATCTGGCCTTTTATAACATTTAATTTTTATATATTCTACGTAGATTAAATAGCCATAATATTTAAGGTGATGATAAAAAGAAACCGTGGTTTTCAGTCTTGTCATCACTCGCTACAACGTAAAAAATATACAAAAGGCGTACTTTTTATCGCTCCTTTTAGATCTTGATTTCGTTTTTTATTTGTTTGCCGTAAGGTCATTGCTGTCACACAAAAAAACGTCTATATTAAAAGAGATATCTTCGAACATTAAAGGCAATGCACCTAGCAAAATGGGTCACAAGCAGGCCTCGGAAACACTTGTGAAACTGTATTTATAATTAAGACAGTAAGTCACAGAAAGGGACTGTAAATAGGGTACACACAAGGTGTGTTTCTCAAAGTGTGGGTTTCAGATTACGTAGCGATAATGTAGTGTGATATATTATTGTAACTGTTCCAACTAGGTCAGAAATATGTTTTTCTCTTCTCGTCTCTATTCTTAGAGATATACATACTTCTGTATGTCAATACGTAGTCGGAGTAAAGTGTATCCTTTAATCCTTAGGGAGTAAAAATACCAAATTTTTTAATTTATTTCGAGTGAACAAAATCAAACAGCCAGTAGTCCGGTTGGTTTGAGTTCCGTGTCTTTTCCGCATAGACGGTGGCGCCATATTATTTTTCCGCGTTAATGCGTTTGTTGTACGAGTATCTGTGTCTGGTTGGAAAAAAATACCGTGGATGCTTCAAAATTTTGGCTCGTAATTTTTTTACAGAGCGAAAATGATTTAAATATTTTCTGTTTCTGGCAATCAAAGTGAAAAGTAAAGGTTTCACCTCGAGACTAAAAGCCAATATAAAACCTCGAAGTAATACACACCACTCTAACCACCTCGGATATATATTGGCTTATTTTAGTCCCTCGATAAAAATATACTATTTTCTTTGCTTATAGCTGTTGTTGTTATATATTCTTATTATCATTATTATTTATTTTAGATCGATAATATTTCACATACTATATCCATGGATTTAGCTTCTATCTCAATAAAGGCCTGTTCAGATATAAACGATTTAGTTACCTCTGTGTGTAGCGAAAAACACTGCGCGGTTTCCCGCCGGATACTTCTGTGAAATTCCGCGGCTAGAGCGGAACCGGAATACCGCGCCATACCTCCCAGTACAGGTACAGGTAGGCAGCACAATTTTCGCCGCATGACGCGGGAGCAATGGCAAATTCATATCTCCGCACAGCCCGCAAGTCAGTTAGTCAAGATTAGCTGACATAATAATAATAAAAGGTAAAAAAATGGATTTCGCTACCCATAGCGGTAGCCATATCCACATAGCATGTCAGTGCGAATGCCGCGTCGGATTTATTTATCCACAGTGGTATCGAATGACGCGTATATCTGAACAGGCCTTAAAACGCCATCTTGTGTCAAAATATTACAAACCTCTGGCTCTTTGCACTCTACAACAATATAAGAAGCTACGTCATAATTAAATGCTTTAATTAGCGGTAAGCGGCGACGAGTGTTCTATTTTTAATCGACTTCAAAAAAAGGAGGACGTTCTCAATTCGACTGTATGTTTTTTTTGTATGTATGTTACGCGATAACTCCGGTATTTGTGAACTGATTTTCATGATTCGTTTTTTGTTGGAAAGCGAGTACCTCCATAGTAGCCCCATTTCATTTTGAAGAAAATCATCCACCTCTAAGGATGGTTGATCACGCATGAACATTCATTTTTATAAATAGCGCTTAGTTTTTACTTAAGGAGCAATTATTTTAATGGTTGGTTTTGCTATTCTCCAATTCAAGTCGTTTTTCTCTCTCAATTTGACTTTGAGTAGTGAGAACCGATTTTTATTATCTCCTGTGTGAAGTCCTCTAGAGTGGTGAACTAAGGGATATTTCAATAAAACTTGGCAAATAGATGTCATTCCACGTATTTTTGAGGTCGGTTTTTTAGTACTCTGTACTGAGATTATAGAAAAGTTATTTTTTTAAATTCATCATGTGCCTCAATTACTTTCGAATTTGTTACGTAAATTTTCCGCGAGATTGTTATTATTTTAAATGAATTTGCAACAAAATTAAAGAGGGTTTTGATAATTAATATTCATTATATTACAGATTCAATGTTTTAAAGTAAACAACAAACACTAAGTGATTTGTGTATTTTTAAATATGGAACCTCTACTATGCACAAAAAGTATAATAAAAATTGACTTCAAAAGCTTCAAAAGTAAAAAATGGCATTCCGACTTATAACAAGTGAAGTCTGAGGTATCGCTTTATACTGTTTAT